TATACAGGGATTCTCAGCTCTTAATGGGAAATCTCTAGGTGGTGATTATTGACAAATTTTTAAAGAAAAAAATACATTTGATGCATGGACCAATTTCGAACGTTAAAGTAGTTAAGATCAATTTTGTATCCTACTTAAGGTGGACACGTTTTTATTGGACAAGAAGAAATTTATCAAAAATTATTCAAGAAAATTTCATTTCAAGCATACCATCGTAAAGAAGACAAAATATTCTCTGAGAAAATAGTGAATTAATTTATTGCAACGAATGATAAAGGATGCTTTCAGGAGGTCTAATATGGCCGCTGTACTGCGGCGTACGAATCGGAAATACACTAATATGCTTTTCGTGTATGGATACTGTAACAGAAGTACTACAGTATCTATAAGAAATTAACTAACTATATGGTATATGTATATATAATGGGAAGTGATTTTTGAAGTCCTATACATAATTACACGAACAATAATACTTTTAGAGATATTTTTTTAATATTTATTTCATGAGAGGTATTTTTCCATTTGGGAGGAGGAGAGAGAGGTTCAGCCCGAAACTCCCTCCTCAACGTCGATCCACCTGTTACGACAACACTTATTGTTTGCCAAAGTGAAGTAGGGACGCAGTAATTTGACCTGTTTTAATCAATGATATAAAGGGTATCTCTGTTCTTAATGGCCGAACTCCGGTTGGTGATTCTAGACAAAATTTCCAACAAAAAAGTTCATGTGATGTATGATACCAATTTTATATGGTCAAATTTTTGAGTGAATAAGAATCGCTAGCAATTTGTTAGTGAATTAGACAATTTTTTTAAAAATGAAAGCAGTGGTTGAATTTACTAAGATCAATGATAAAAGAGACATTCAGGAGTTTAATATGGACGCTGTACAGAGATATCCTGCTCGTGTATGGGAACTGTGACTGCAGAAGTACAGCAGTTTCGTCTACTTTACGATGGTGTACTTAAAATTTTATTATCTTGAACTGTTTTTAGAAATTATTTCTAATTCACTAAAAAATGTGACCGTACAAAATTGTCTTTGGCCCATTTGGCCCACGCATCAAATGAATTTTTTTTTTGGTAATTTGGTCTTGAATCACCACCCAGAGTTCGGCCATTAAGAAATCAGACACCCTTTATATCATTGATTAAAACAGGTCAAATTACTGCGTCCCAGTGTCATTTTGACAAACAATAAGTGTTGTCCTAACAGGCGGATCAAATATGAATTTTGGTTTTGATATTACAATTAGAATAGAAAATATAGTTTTTAGCGTTTCCTGAAAAAATGTTTAAAATGATTACGGTTCACTTTGGAAATAAACGATTCATAACTAAAAGAAGTTCATGTTCTATGGAAAGGGAAAAGATACGTTACGTTAGTGGTGTTTGTTAATTTGCGGTGTTGAGAACAACCTAAGCAAGCTGGTAATTTTAAAGTAGCTCAACATAAGGAATGCCTGCAAGAGAATGGATCAGTCGACGTCCAATATAGTTTCTCAGGTTTAGTAGAAAGACGTGAGTAAAGGCTAAAAAGAAGGGGCTTAGCAGTGAGGATAGAATTAAGAAAAGGACTAGTCAAGGAGCGGTAGGAAAAAGAATTCTAATTAAATTAGCGGGAAGAGGGAAAGAGGAAGAGGCCTCTTATTGGTCGGCCGACCTGTCTTTCGGCCATGTCCGGCAGTTGCCGCTACCCTTTATTAAAAAAAAAAAAAAAAAAAGGCTTTCTCATTGGCCATTATTGCCGACACACGTAGACCAATAGCAATCAAGGCCCACCTTCTCGAGGTGCCCGATTCTTCTAAATTATTCTCTCACCAGCTGAGATTAAACCCGACCCCCTCTAACCCTCTCTGTCAAATCGTAAATTAAACGGAATAAGAGAGAATTTTGTTGCGATGGCCAGGCAACTCTTACTAATACCGTTTCTTCTTAAAACTCGGTTTTTATCGTCTCCTTGGGATTAAAAATTATCCCCTTGTCTTGAGAGGTTTAATTTATAACACGGGGATTCTGCGAAAAATTAGAGATGTACGTTTGCATTGTCCTCCTCTTCAAATAAAAACGTTCTGGTAAATAAAATAAAAATTAAAAATAAAAAAAAAATTAAATCACACTATTTCTCAATTCTTCTTCGGTGCATTCTATTTATTTTGAAGTTTATTTATTATCAGCCAATTTTACAACAATTTTTTAATTTTGTCAACTTAATGACTACACATCTAACTACGGCGTTTCGGCTCGTTGAGCCATTTTATTTTGAGTAGACGCATGCGATTCGCATAAGTAAAAAGGACAAGTACATGATGGGTATTTAGGTATATAAAAAGAATCTTTTATTTTTTGAAATATGTAATGTTTGAATATGATTGTAAATTGAAAAAAAATTGTTAGACTTGAAAATGGCTCAACTAGCCGAAACGTCGTAATTAGATGTGTAGTCATTAAGTTGACAAAATTTAAAAATTGGTGTAAAATTGGCTGATAATAAATAAACCTGAAAAAAAAAATTTACGCCCATTAGTATAGTAGGGATTAGTATATTTCTCAAGTGACAGAAACTGATCAGTTCATATGACGATCATATTATATATAGCAATAAATGAGGATAAAATAGGTGGGGATTGAGGCTTGAAGGAATCTATATAGTAAACCAAAAAGCAATGGACAGATAGAATCAACAAAGATGCAAAATGCTGCCTGCATGCATCAAATCGGAAAGCAGTAGCTCATGATTCATCATTCTTTCTGCAAAGCTTGATTCATTCTGCTCGTTCCTGTGCTAGCTTTCTTCTCCTTCCCCGATCCAGATTTCTAGCCACAAACGCCTCTCTTAAACTACTAAACGTTTTCGGCTTCATCCTCTGAGGGCCACAGTTGCCCTTCTGATTGTTGAATATCTTCCTTTAATAACGTCTAAAACAGTTTTTACACGTTTAATTAGTGCATCTCGAGTGTCTACTTCCTTTACTTCACCTTTGAACCAGCTCCATAAACAATAGTCCAGTATTCTCATGTATGCATGGACATTCTCCAATAGTCTTTGTAATTCAAATTGTAAAACAATTAAGTAGTCATCAGATCGAGGCGATCTCTAAAATGAAAGAGCCAATTAAATAATCGTTGACAATCCCACATCAAACGTTTACGGAAGCCTTATGTTGAACATTGAATTACTGAAATGTTTAAACATGGATAAAATATTGTTTGTTTTGTAATTGAGCAATGCAATTTAAACAAACAAAATCGGATAAGAACATATGAGAATTTTAAAATCATTTTCCTGTGTATTATCCTCTTTTGTTAGCATTAGTTCCTTCCCTGTTTCCTCTCAATCAATAAGTGAGCGGGATGGTCATATATATCAGTCGAGTATGATAAAAGCACCATTTCTAGAAAACAGGCAAATGAGAGAGCAGCCTTGCCATGTTATAGAAGAATTTACACGTGGGAAGACCAGTTCATAAACATGTGGAGAATTAATACGAACCAGGAAATCACTCCGGGTAATCGTATAGGACAAGGAAAATGGTTGGGAAGATGAGTAGACCGAACGAAGAGGAAAAGCTTGATTACTCGAACGTGTAGAAGATCATGTTACCGGGAATTCAGACACTCCCTCGAACTATGTGAAGCCTAAGGTAAATGTACAAGACACTTTAAGGGAAATTTTAAACAATGATGTGAACAAGAGATTCAGTTCACACGGTGGATCAAACAACAATTTTTTTATTTTATTTATTTTGGTTTATTTATTTTGGTTTATTTATTTTCAATAATGAACCATTGCGATCGACCAAAAAATTGAAAAACTTTAGCTCCTCTCAAAATTTGAGGTACGCTGTACGCCGTCCTTCATCCGCGCATTTTCTCCGATATTACCGCACCGATTTTTTTTTTTCAAATTTGGATATAAAATCAGAGGTCACCCGAGGATGATCCTCCTTCATCGACTTAATATCCGCCTTTTGCATTCAAAATGGCGGCCGAAAAACCTAAAGATTGTACCGCCTAAACGAATGTAGATTTCAATGAAAATTGACTAGTCATTTTCTCGACGCCCTTTAAATTTATCTATATAAACATACTTCAACGAAAAGAAGCTGGAGAAAAAGTTACGAGGGATGGTAAAATTAAATTCGGAATGTTTTTTTAAAAGTTTACGGAATTTTCGAGAAAAAAAAAATCGTTAAAATCGGACAATTAGGAGTAAAGATATAGTCTCTAGTTTTTTTTTATATGCTCTGCTGGAAAGGTGTTACTGTAGTAATGATATTTTTTTTAGCATATTACCAATGATTAAAAAAAAAAAGTTTAGTCCGATAATTGGAATAACCTTTTATTTATTTTTTTTTTGTAACTAGGAAGGTTACTTTAGATGTATAATTGTTTGAAAATAATAAACTGTTATGAAATAGTTTGCGTTTTTTTTTCTTCTGTACATTTAATTAGTTAATCATGCTTAAACAATTCCGTATATTGCATATTGCATCCGTAATAGAGAACCAGATTTTGGGATCAACAGATCTCCTGATGAAAGGCTATGAGAAAACTCTGAAACAAACATGCAGCGTTGCTACATTGAAAAACCCACAGGATATTGGGGCATGATACAACTTGAGGTTCAAGCATCCCTCTCAAGTGTTCTTGCTGCAAATCTACTAATAAAACTTATTATTTGTTAATGAGTTGGAAGCTGTCTATTGCTGGTACATTTACCTTATTTGGGATACATCTTATTCCGTTTGTCATACAATTAACTGAAAATCATATGTATCAAAGATAACTAACCGAGAGTGAACAGGTGTTGAGCAACCCTATTGTCACTGTCCTTGTTGTGTTTGATGGGTGAGAAAGGTAAAAGGTAAGAAATGGACCTTTAGCAACTTCCAAAATACCTTCTACCTTAAGCGATTTATCTCTCTATTCGAAGAACATCTCGAGAAGTGCTAGATTTTTAAGAATATTCGTTTAGTACTAGAAAGATATAGACATTTTAGACATTTGCACAATCAAAGAAATTTTTATTTACGAACATTCTGTGTAGTGACAGAAGATTTAAGGATTGAAAAACCTCCAGGTGCTACCATCGACCCTCCTCTCAGCATTTCTTCTAATGTCTTCCAGGTACCTCTGAGCAAGGGCTGCTAGTTTCGGGTCCACGGTTTTCTTCTTCATCTTAGCAATTCTGTAAAGTTTATTTTTCAAGGGGAGACTTGGCTGTCGCAATGCAGTGACCACCTGTGAATTCAGAAATTAATTTTTATTAATATACATGCTATTCGTTTTTAAATTTATATTTCAGATTCAGTTATTGATCATAATTGAAAACATTTGTTTCTTTATTAATATTGACATTTAACAATTGTATACAACGAAAAATAAATCTGCTATAAGGATATAACATGATAACATGAAATCAATATAACATGGTAAGTACTTGTGAAGAACCTACCCATTGGTAACACTCCAAATATTAGATTAATTTAGAAGCCCCATTAGTCATCTCCTTTTCTTTTCAGACCTCTCAGGGTGTTATCAGGAATTGCATTGGATGAATGTTATGAACTATTTTGTATATTTGGATAACCAAAGAGTTAGAAATATTTAAATTTCAAGATAGAAATATCTGGTTCGGGCTAAGTCTTCTACAAGAAGAATGTTGAGGTCTTTATGGATAATTTTATTTCTGAAATAGTAAGGCGCATTTAGGATTTTACAGAAGATTTTGGATTGCAAGGATTGGATACAAGAAGAATTCGGTGTTTTTGTAAAGTCCCATAATTGAAGATAAGGTACAGAAATAATTATTGGCAATGATAGAAAAGATTCATTTTCCACCAAAAAGGAATAGTGCTGATCTAAGGTTTATTGAACTAATAATTGCAAAGAAACATAGATGCAAGTTTTTCATAATTAATGGTTCGTTCCATCTAAATAGAAGGCAAAATACCACGCGGAAGCCAAAAAGCTGATGGATATAATCAACGAAGATGCACAATAGAGCTGCGAGCAGATAAATGGAAAGACATTTCAAACGTATATTTGAATTTTTTGCTTGGTACAAATTACCTTAACAAATTTTTTTTATCAAAAGATTTTTTTCCTTATTTACTATTTTATTATCTACATATTAGAAATGCGAGAATATAACCTATGTAATATATTAACCTAACCTAAACAATAGATGTAAGTAAAGACAGCTCTTATGGATGTCAACTAGACTGTCAATACTCGTCTACTTTCGGTGTTCATCGGGAATCTGGGAACAGAGTGATTTGGGTGATCTTGAAACCGGCCGCCATCTTGAAATGTCTAAAAAGAACTGCTACCCAAGAAAAATAGTTGCAATCTTGTCATACCATTGTTTTAAACGTCTAATAAATCAACAATACGATATGATTTATTATTGATCCAAAAACATTATAGTTCTGTAGAAATTGAAGAGTACTTCTTATCACAATTAAGTGATACGAGTCTTCAATATCAAGTTCTAAAATTTACTTAAATGTGTTATTTTAAAGTACCATAGTTCAAAACTGCAATTAGTAAAATTATAATGATAGTGAAAATATCTTACCAGGGTTTTAATGTCATCGAAATCGTAATCTACCGCTGTATTCGACAAGCTCATTTTGAGTAATTAACCAAGAATTTAATTGTAATCGCCAAAATTTATTTCTAACCTCACATATGGTATTTGAATATAACTAAAATAGGGCAATTATTACAACAGATGAGAAGATATTTTTGCTACGTCTATCTTTTCACAATTATTACTTGTGCTTAACTTAGAAATACAACTGACCTCTTTAGTCTTAGAAAATAAAATTATAAAGCGTTCTTGAAATAAATATCACGAATGGAATCCAAGGCTTATAAAAGACAAATTGCCATGTTAAATCTTAAATAAACTATAAATTTCCAAATGTAATAATTTTCAAGATACTTGTTAAAACATATCATGAAATAAAAATTACTGGTCTAGCTTTGTGAGTAGTGTTTTAATAGTGATCATTTCTAATTGATAAGTTTATTTTTTCAATGAAAATCATGGTTAAGGTGATTGATTTTGCCATAACTATATACCAGTTATTTTTTATTGAAGTAAAGTTTGATCTCTTCACTAATGCTGAAACTTTTAATTAAGTTTGTAATAAATGCTTGATTAATGTACATAGTTTTGCAAATATACAATTTTAAACTTAATTCAAGTCACCAAAATACTTCTTAAAATTTATTTTATTTAAAATTAGGTACTATAAATTAATGATAAGTAATTAAAACATACCAGAGTACTACCTTCCATAGAGCGTTGAAACACAATACTGCGTTTAATTGCATGTTGGCTCACATTCCTCTTACTAATAATACATAAACATTACTGCAGAAGTTCTTTCCGTCTTCGAAACACGAGACATTCTAAGTCAATTCTTCACGGATTGAGAATTAAATTAAAATAAATGAATTTAGGAAGAAATCAGGGCAATAAAACAGGTAAAATCTTGTTTTATAAAATAAATATTTTTGTTATATTATTCTACTAACAACAAATTAATGCAAGAGACTCTTGAAAAAGAAACGATTAAATCATTTATTTATCCACTTATTCCATACCTTACCATTTCTGACATACATGATTCCAAAGATACAACCAAACCTACTCTAACCAGAATGGGGAGCTCGAAATTCATTCCCTGGTCCGCCATGAAATAAATCTGATCCCACACAGGCCGGATTCGAACTGGCATCACTTGAACATTGAAGGTCATGATTTACCATAATCATCCCTCACGACCACAAAATACCTGAAAAACTGAAGATAACATAGTAAAATGATTGTGATGAGTGATGTGTGGATGAGTTCACATACCGGTGTCGAGGTGCCTTTTACCTATCATTAATCCCCCGTCCTCTCCCCTGACCCAGTAAAACTCCGTATCCATTATAATCGAAAATGTGAGGATGGGGAGGACAAAAAGTAAAATAAAATAAAAAAAACGATCAGATTCCATTACAGGAAACGCGTTACCTTTTGGTATTCCTAGAATCAAAAATAGAATCTTGGTTCTTGCAATATTCTTTTTTTTATATTTATCCATCATCAACTCTACTGGTTTAGTTAGAACATTGAATCTTGATATTCATTTGCGAAAAAACTCGATTTTATTTTCTTGTCAACTTGGAAACGGAAGCGGTTTTGGCCCCAATGTAACGAGGTAGGATCCAAATCCATTATTGAACTCTAATAATATAATTTGATAATGATAAGTAATGAAGTTGTTCAGAGGCTGTAATGTTCGAGAGTGTTAACGCATCATAATCTCAGTAACCCAGAGTTTAGCAACACCGAAGGTTTTTTACTCTGTCCCATTCCTCCTCATTTCGGATTAATGCTAGAGTTAAAAGCCCCCTCCCCAGGCACAGTGCACTGGTACTGATGGCGGGACTTAGTTCAGCAAGTGGGGCTATTTTGGGGGCGGGGTGGCCGAATGAGCTAAGATGTGGGCACACACAGCACCGCGAGTTGCCCGGCAGCCAGATAACCAAGTTTCGAGATTGAAAAAAAAAGTACGAGTTCGCTTCCTAGTGCCAGAGGGGATTTTAAATTCTCCGTCCTCACCCTTCGGCCCGGGAAAATCCCGTATAGCCTAAAAGGCAAGGTATGATAGAACAGCAAAAAAAAAAAAGTGGGCTTATTGGTCCTTTTTTCCAAATCCAAAGTTGATACTACCAATGGTTGTCTATTGTACCTCTACTCTGTTTCAAACCTTTTTGTTCTTCTAATGAAATTCAAAAGGTGGGACCATTTTATGGAGGTAGCTTTGCATACTTGGATTCTGTCTGCGCCCAGAAGTCTATATCTGAGTAATCCGTCACATTCTGTTATGAAGTGGAGGGCAGTTTCAGGTGCAACTTCTGCAAAGATTGCAGAATTCATCATCCACTATCCATCAGATCTTTTAAGTCTGCAGTGACCTGTTAGTACTCCGATGATGAGTCGGATTTCTTTCCTAGTTAGGCCCAGCAGCCACTTTGTTTTGGAGGGAGAGGGGCTTTTGATAAAATTGTTTTGCTTCTCTAAGCCCTATGCATTCCCTCCATTCTTTACCTGCTTTTTTCCAGGTCCAATCAAGGACTTCTTTCCGCTGATGCTTTTTGAATATTCCTATTGTAGGTTCCGGACCTACTATAGGAAATTCTGCTCCATTCCTTGCAAGGGCATCGGCTTTTTCATTGCATTTAATTTCCCCCCCCCCCTCGGCACAGAGATTCGAACTCATAATCTTAGATTTATCAGGTTCTTCGGCTACTCCGTCGCTTCAGCGTCGATTTTATACGGCCTGGGTGGGTTGTTGGAGTGAATCACTAGATTCGTTATACCTCAAGAATAATTCCCTCTCCCCTCCTCCCCCATATATCAGAAGTGACCTGCATGGGGCAAAATAAAGAAAAAAGTAAATAAGTTTTTTAGATTGTTAAATCAATGTACGATCAATGCTCAATAGTACCATCACCTTACACACACTTCCAAAATTTATTTTATTTTTATTATTATTAGTTTCTGTATTATTTATTTTTACTTAATGTAAATAGAGTGTAAGTGTGCTCTCTGAACACTATTATAAATGTCCTTGATCGTGACAGAATGTAATATTTCTAAATAAACAAATATATAAGATTCTTAAAAATTTAAATATCACCAAAAGTTGGGTATATCGTACAGTATAACTATCATTATGACATATTCATTCTTTAGTTCTCTCTCACTTTTAGAAACGTATGTGTATATTTTAAAATAGTTGCCTTGGGATACTTATAATATAGTTAGATTTTAAAAATCAAAGTATTGCCATTTATCCATAGTCTTCGGCGAAATGAAATTCTATTGAAAAGATAGACGGATGAGAATGGTTTTGAGCCCTAAGAGGCTCATAGAGTACCTCATCATATCATCATATCATCATAGAGTACCTCGGATGATATAGAAAGAAACTTTTTGGTATATTTAATTAAACAAAAAAAATATATAAATACATGTATAGTTTCTATACTCCTACAAACCAATAATTTTCTGAACAGAAATAGGTCTTGACCGATTATAGTAATGAATTAGTTCAGACGTTATGAACCAGGTAATCACTTATTAAGTAAACTGTTTCTTTAACAGTCGTGGTATAAATAATAAATAATTTTGTGTGTTGGATAGATTATTTTGAAAATATTATATTGTATATACGAATAAACATGTTTCAATGATGTTCGAATGAATTAGGGAGATTATTTTGGTTCTGGAATTAAATATAAATTTATACAATGCTACGTTAAATATAGTAAGGATCTGTAAAGGAGTCCTTTACTACTCTTTTCGTAGTAAAGGAGTGGATATTGAAACATATTGTTTGTGAAGGTTCTGAACCGGGAGCGAAAAGGGTTCCATGATGGAGCATTGTGATGAAGGGAACGTTAGGTATCGATTCCTCGGAGGTGGTGTACCCTGATCGGATGTGTCAGCCCATTGTTCCGTCCCGCCGTGCCATTGTAGTCCTTTCTGTCATTCCTCTCTCGTCCGCTTTACAAATAGTCTGAGGAATTAATAGTTTTCCCACTTTTATTTATATTAACGCTCACTTCATCGTGAAGTTATTTAGCCTTTTTCAATTCCAACAGTAATTAAGTAAACGGACATAAATATCGAAGTAATATGGTGCATACACTTCAAAAATTCACTGACCTAAGGATTCACTAGATAACAGAATATGATTGCTATTAATAATTTTTCTTACTAACGTTGTTATAACTTACTATCTATCCAGGATTTAACTTTTTTTTCAGACGGCTTCAGCTTTTTGCAAAAGACGTGCAGCAACTGCGAGAAATGATCAAGCATCTCTTAAAAATGTGTGGGGAAATTGGTCTTCCTTTACTCCAAGTACCAGAAGACTAAATCAATGACAGATAGGGGAAAAGAAAATGTAATGTAAACAACCATAGTTTGACATATGTAGAGGAGTATTTCTATTTGGGCCTTGTATTTATATTGGAAGTCCAAAGGAGAATGGCACTTAGTTGGAATACGTTTCGGTACCTCAAACATAACGTGGAAAGAAATAAAATACAGGTATTCGACAGTTGCATATTTCCAGTGTTGTTTATGGATACCAAGCCTAGGTCTTTGACAAAACCTCAAGAAAGAAAGATCCACCTGTGGCGGAATGACGTTGAAAGATTATGAATGTGAGGAAAAAGGATAGAATGAGAAATGACTGGGTCAAAAAAGAAACAGGATTCACAGATATCTTAGACGGAGTACAGTGAGCAAATGGAAATGGCTGGACATCTCCTTCGGTGTGAAGATAATAGATGGTCAAGAATGGTCACATACTGGACTCTGAATGACCTGAAAAATAGAGTAGGGCGTCAAAAGAAAAGTGGAGCTGAGTGTTCAAAAGTGGTTGGCAGGGTCCATCCGGTGGAGAACTACTAGAGAAGTCTGGAAGGAGAAGTGGGCGGAACTTCCAAAAGGGCTAGTCATCCCGAGAAGCGCTGACTATTACTCCCTAAAGGGAAGACCTATGTATGCAAGGAAAAAAAGATAAAAATAATCAATATATTAATTGTTTTTACATTTAAAGAGAGTAGAATTAAACAGACGTTACGGTCTTTTATCCAGATTAAGTAAGACAGACTTTTAAAATTATCTTTAACTAACAAACTAACCCTTTATAAAGTCTTACTTAAACCTATTTGGACTTACGGCATAGAACTGTGGGGTTCTGATAAAACTTGCTACATTAAAAAAGTTTAGTCCTCTCAGTAAAAAGTGTTGCGTAGGATAGTTGACTAAAGGATAGTTCAGTTTTATGTCGCAAATGATACACTACATAAAGACTTAAACGTACCTACAATTTTAGATACTGCAAAAGAGAACTACAACAACTTTCACCAAAGACTGACGTGCAACATGAATCCTCTGACAGAAATCCTTCATCGTACAAGAAATCCGTACAGGCCACTACGACGATTACGTAGGCGTTGGCCAAGAGATCTCCTGATCTGATTTATATTCCGGAAGTGATGGGAAGCTGCGAAGCTGCCAAAAAATTTGCTTATTGCAAAGAAATTTGCAGATTGCAAATTTAATATAACGATCCACATTTTTGTTTGGTTAATAATAATAATAAACATTTAAAGAGTATACTTATTTGAATGTACTTTGTATTAACCTTTTCAGAAATAAAGGCTATATCATCATCCCCATTTTTGAAGAAAAAGAAATAAACAAACTAGCTATATGAAATGGTATATGGTATATGGTATATGGTATATTTATGTGAAATATGTATGGGGAGTGATTCTTGAAATCTTATATGTAATTAACCGGGCAATAATACTTTTAGAGTTAATTTTTTTCATAAGACATGGTACTATTTTTTCATTTGAGGGAAGGAGGGAGAGCTTCATCGCGGAAGTTTCCACTCATCGTCGATCAGTCTCTGCTACCCAACTACACTTATTGTTTGTCAAAATCAAGTTGGGACGCCGTAATTTGACCTGTTTTAATCAATGAAAAACGAGGTATCTTAGTTATGAGAGTTACGAAATATTTACTGTAAAAATTTATAATCACCAGAACTCATGAACGTCAAGCACTCCGAGAAATTCAGGCAATCATGAGATTTTGCATCAACGCGACCGAAATTCCAAAAGGAAGCTTTGTATTAACGTAGAAATTAAAAAAAAAAAAGTTTGTTCTTAGAAGACGTCAAAAACGGCAAGTTCGATTTGTACCGAAGTTAAAAGAAATTCGGGAACTTATCTACAACTGATTTAGTATCAATTTAATGCAATTACATCTGCATATACACCCATAAATGTATTCTATTTTAAAGGCTTTATTTGTATCGCACAGATTAAATGTAGCTAAAAAAATTATGGATATCCCCTGAAATTGATGTCTAGGATGGTGCTAGAAGATATTACAGTTGCTAAAACTTTAATATTTAACATTCAATTTCGGGTCTGAAATTAACTATTAAATACCCAACTGAAGATTGACATTACTATACTTTTGCTTTCCCAAAACTTAAAATCACACAGAAATTATTTCTGTAATAAAAATAATATATATATATACATATATATATATATATATATATATATATATATATATATATATATATATATATATATATATATATTGAATATTTAATAGTTGACCGTTGCATTATAAAGGAAGGAGATGGTCCGGCGTGGCGGTCATACTAAATAGTGGTAAAACTATTATCCTATTTATGACCGCCATCCCGGATTATCTCCTTCCTTATATATATATATATATATATATATATATATATATATATATATATATATATATATATATATATATATATATATATATATATATATAAATATTAAAGGAAGGAGATCAGCAAGTCCAAGCCAAGTGCAATTTTTTAAAAAAATAATTGGCTCAAAAATCAAGAGTGATGTTTTCATTAAGTCAAATTTGATAATAACCCTTAAAAATGAAAAAAAAAAGTTAAAACTACACATTGATAATTAGCAACAAATTCATATTTATTATTATAATTCATAATATTCGTGCGTTATTTCTGTAGACAAGATATAGATAATGGAATTATTGCAAATTTTTTATAAGAATCCATTTCATCTAACATTATTTCCAAGTCGAAGAGAATTCCCAAGGCAGATTTTCAGGCCATCTCGAAAGGTCAGGTACTTTATAGAGTCAAGTTTGGCCCGGAGGGGCGTATTCCAATCTCAGGAGGGACAGGCTGAATAGAATATAAATTTGACTGGTGTTGGTTCCCTAACGTGTTACAGGTAGAAAGCCCTTTTTATTTTTAACGTTGGAGAACTTGGGATGGAAACTTGTTTCTATTACGTATACTAGTATACCCTAGTGGGAATTATCACATTAGATTCCTTTTCTCTTATGCATTCGACGTTTAAGTTACATCAGCGAAAAATGTTTAATCCTAAATACGGTATAATAATATCAAGATAGTGTAGTTGACACAAATAAGTGGTGAAGATTCCTTCCTTTTATTAGTGTTGCTCAAATGCGAGACCGAAACGAGTCTTGGTCTTGCAAACTCAGTCTTGGTCGTGGTCTTGGTCTTATCCAAGAGTCTCGCAACAGTCTTGTAGTTATTTATTTGCTTATCACTATAGGAGTATTACTGTAATTTTTTTAGATTCCAGAAACCTAACTAAGAGGAGTTAAATGCAAAAGTATATCGGTTATACCAATTATTGA